TGGTGGGAAGGAAAGCATAGTCCAGTACCTATATGCCATGGAGCCCCTTAACGTAGAGGCAGTGCTCCTCTGCCTGAAGACCCCAAAGCAGAGGCTGCGCTGCAGTTGCCTGAGGTGCTGCCGTGCCGTCCTGCCAGCCAGAGCGGCGTGGGCAGCAGGATATTGCTGCGCCTCAGGTGCTCCGGGAGGTCAGTTTGGGTTCGATCAGCATCTTTCCAAGCTGTAAGAGTGCCCCGAGAGTCTCTATAGCCTTCAAAGAGAAACTGAGTTAGTGATAGCGATGATAGCGCAGTTTCTACATATAAGCATTTACCGTGCAGTTGCCCACATGTACGCCTGACTTCAGAGGGTCTGAGCTCCCACATCTCCCCCTGCCTTCAGCTGGGAAGCACTGGTTCCTCAGCACCTCCAAAAGCACGTCATTACAGCATGTGCCTTTCTAAGGATGCCCGTCCAAACCCAGCCGGGATCACAGGCAGCCCTGCCTACACTACAGAGCTTCCGCTGTGTCCATAACCCTCACGGCTGTGTCTCATCTCCTGGCCGTCTGCCTCGTCTTTCCCAGCACTTGTTTTTTGTATGACTCGGAAATCATTCATTCCATTATCTTCCTTTCTGTTTGCCTCTGAAAAGCTGATCTCCGGGCAGCTGTCTCCTACCACGGAAATGTAGTAACGGGGCAGAGAACCTAAGAAGCAGTGGCCTGCTGAGACGAAGATCATCTCCATCTGGTGCTGGTGTCTGCCTCGGAGTCAGGGCATGGCTGCGCAGTGAGGGCTCGCAGAGCAGAGGGGGGGAGAGGGATCCCAGCCGCCAGCTGAGGAAAGCAGCTCTCTCCATTTCTAGCAAAGGGAAGTTGAGACTTCCGAGAGCAATGTCACCTTTTCTAGTTTGAGACAAACATCTTTTGACCTGTTTTGGTTTGGGTTTTTTGGGTTTTGTTTTTTTTTGTTATTTTTAAACAGAGCAAATCCAGTTCACGGTTTAAATGTAGCACTGCAGTTGTTTTGGTGAGGAAAAAAAAATTAATCCTTATTTACTGAGAATCCACGCAGTCCAGCAAGGAGTACAATAGAAAGTCTTAGCAGTGGGAGTGGTGTGCACATCTCTGACGGTACTTAAATTTGCTTCAATTTGGATGAACAGTAGAGAATGCCAAATTCTTGGAAATAACTTCCTCCAGTGTGAGAAGCCTTGCAGGGTATGTCTGCATCCTTTGTTTTCAAAGCTACTCCACACTTTTATAGCAAATGGAAATAACTTAAGGAAGAGTCTGCAAAGGATCTTTCACCCCAGAGTGGTTGCGGCCAAGTATTACCAATGGTACAAAGCTTCCTTCCCCTACAGAGAACTGTTGCATTGCAATACTTGACATTTCTATGGCAAGGACACAATTTCTCCCCATTTACGCACTGAATTCCTGGAGACAACTCCCTTCTCCAGCCTCTTGTGCACCTGTCTTGTTTTTAAATGCAGTTATGCCCTGAAGGGTTGGGTTTGTTTTGCTTTGTTTTTTAAAAGTATATTCAATTGTGATTTAGCACTTTTTTTTATACTAGCTCATTATTTAATTAGTGCAACAGTTTCAGAAGATGAACAAATAAGGAGTTAAATTTTGGGCATTACACTGAAACAGTCCATACCCGAGGATAAATCATATCAACCTGAGGATGGCTTTGGCCGTCCAAGTCCGGTGTCCCCAAATACCACCATGAAGGTGCTGTGTGCTTACTTTTCTTTCTAATTATGAGTATTTAACAGTAGTTTTGGCTGTGACTGGTGCGGGTTTTTTCACATTACTGTTCCCCTCAAGGGAGAGGTGTTAAAATGGTTGTGATTGTAATTCTTCAGATGCAAAAATGTAGCGCAGCACTTTTGTTATAATCTCAGCAGGCATTGTAATGGTTGGGGATGTGGTACCCTGCTGCTTTACCAGAATGATATGCCCGAATAATTTGTTTAACTCCAGTTGCTGCTGTATGTCAGGATTTCATGTAGTCTCTCTAGCCAGTAAGGCTGGAAGAGAACCGTAATCCCAAGGGCATAGACCTGTAAATGATTAGGAGGGGGAAGTGGAGATTTGTTTTTAAGTTGATGAATTTAAGAAACTTAACATTCCTTGTTATGCATATGTTGCAATCCATACTGGTGTAAATGTAAATATTTGGTGTGTTGGCAACAAGTCTTTTTGGAGAGATTGCAAATTGAACCTCTGCTTGGGAGGAGGGACACCTTTCTTTTTTTTTTGATGCGTGAGCTTTTTGAAGGTTGGCTTGGAGGTGACGTGGTGATGAAGACTCCAATCTTCAGGGGACTGGGCTTGGCGACCCTGGTGGTCCTTTCCAGTCCTGTGTAATCCTCTGGTTGTCTTTAGTGATCCAGCAGTTCTTTAGCCAGATACTCTCTTTCTCACTTCATAGACAAAGCAATTGTTTTGGCAGTGCATCTCCCTTTTTATTTCGATGGGGTTTCTCAAGGTACTTGCATGCCAGAGACCAATCCTGGACCATGCCAATCACCTGCTCCCCATAAACTGTTGACCCATTCATCATTGCACAGTATTCTGGCTTTTCCTCCCTACAGGGTTTCATGGTATCTGGAGGGAAGGGCCCTAAATTTCTGGTGCTGAATATGACTTTGAATCAAAATGCATCTGCTGTACAATCTGCCTGGGAAAAGGTGGGGCTGCCCTGGGCCTTGTTCCCCTCTTAACGGACAGATTCTATATTACACTTTGGTTTGTGCGTGGCAGGAGTCCAGGTCTAGATAAACTAAGATGCAGAGTTGTCTTTTTTTTTTTTATATAGCAGAGGATGACTTTTTTTTATAAATTGAAGCTGCTTTATCCTTTTTAATTTTGTATTTACAAAAAAAAAAAAAGCTAATCTTAGCTGCTCAGCTGTCTTTGAACTTGCTTTGGGATTGTTCTTTTTAGAAGAAATTATGCAACTGTTATGGGGTATGTGCCTGTCCCCTCCCAGGGAGAAGACAGGGCACCTTCCAGGATGTACCTCTAGTGAAAAGTTTGTACCTTCACCAGGCTGCTGAGACACGGAGCAGATGCCAAATAGCCCCTCCGAACACAGCCAGGTCTGTGCAGCTGGATTGGAGTCACTTGCTTTACTGCACCTTTTGCCCCGCTTCAGGAGTTTCTAGCAGCAGAATTTCCCCTGGCTTGCTTCTGCTCACATCATTTCCATGCCATCAGATCTTTATTTTAGAGCAAGCAGTGTTTGCAATGCTGTCTTGTTGCAAAAAGGTTCCCCCTTTTAGGTCTCCCATTGGCATTTTTTTTAATTTTTTTTTTTCAAAAGAAAGTAACTGTGCTGCTCTTGCAAAGTCAATCTAGCTCAAATATTTTTCTTACCCATGGAAGAATAACCTGAGATTCCCTAACAGGGCAGAGAACAGTCAGGTTCAGTTTGCAACGTAGACAGACATTTTTGCTAATTGTGATGTATGGCAGTGGGACTGATTTGTAATACAAATGTTATTTAATCTGTCTGTATTTTGATACTTGAATTTCCTTTTATTTCCTGTATATACAATTGTTAATCTGTTCAAATTTGTCTGAATTTTAAACATCTTGTGGTACCAAACATAACCAATCTGTGCAACAACATAGACTGACCTCACTACAACAAGGCGAGATTGTAAATATTCCTGGGCTTCCAGCAGTCGTTTTGTTGTTTTCATAATTGTACAACTTAGAACAGACTGAATTAATAAACAAACTTAGACACGCATTTGCCCCCTTGTCACTGTGACTTCAGCATTACACCAAAGTCTCCTGGTGAATCTGTGTTAAAGCAATGTTGTTCTCATCTAACAGAGCTGACCTGCAAAGGTAAGAGAGAAGAGGTGTTTAATCAGCACTGTGCCCGCACTTCTCTGCTTTGTAAATCCAAAAAACAAGAAAATGGCAGCGTTCTGCAGAGAGGACACGCTGCGGTTGTGGAAGCGGAGGATGGGGCGCTGATAAGCTGGGAGCAGCCCTTGGCAGCAGAATCGGGGGGTTGTGCCATCCCGAGGTGTGCGGAGTGCTGGCTGCCGAGTAGTCGCTTGGGTGGAAGCTGCTTTTTGCAGTTAGTCATAATGACCCCAAATATTAAATACTAAATTACTTTGAGACTAATTTATGCATAAAAATGCATCCACAGTGTTCTGTTATAGACAGACCTACCTATAGCACAACGGACTCCAACTTCTTTGTGTATGTTCGCCACACGATGGTGAGAAAAGCTCATTTTTAGTCCCGCTAACATACATCTGCAAGGATTGTTCCATTGGGGACTGTCAGGACCCTGATTTACTAATGATAAACACTAAAATTACTTTTCTACAGCACGGCATTAACCAATTCATGTAATGACTATACCAGTTTGCACAGCCATTATATATATTATTTACCCAGCAAAGAGTTTTGTCTTGCCAAGAAGTAGCACATTTTCATTATGTAAAATTAGAGCAAGAAATCCAGACATTTAAATACAGGTGAAGTCAAGTAAAATCTGGCTGATGTAAAGTACTAAATACACCAGGGATTGCTAAATTTATACCGTATGTTCCATTTCTAATAATTCAGTAAGTCAGGTTTTCAAGCTAATATTGAAATATATTGAGCAGTTTTAATGATCTTAAATACCATGTGGCTTTATCAAATGCAAAGTGTCCCTGCACTCTTGATGAACACTTCAGCAAAGCAGGTTACCGGCCCATGGCAGAATTAATGCCTTGAATTAAAAAAAGTTTAAGCTGCACTGCAGTTTTATGAGCTCCGCATCCCATTGACTTCCCCACCAAATAGGTTTTTGGGGAAAAGAAGCCACTACCTTTTGTAGTTGTGAGGTTTATTCAGATACTGACATGCCAAGAGTCACTTCCCAGTAGCAATGCTGGTCCAGGTGGATTTGTCTGATTGGATTTTTACAAGCTGAAGCACAATTTGAGAAAGTGTTGGAGAAAGTGTCCCACCCCTGCCTGTTATGTGGAGAAGATGATCAGAAAGAATCCATCCCTGCACCTGAGTCTGGTTCTGTAGCTGAGAGAAGCACCTCCTTGAGGATTCTTGAGTAGTATGGTCCAAACACCTGCCTGTTGTGGTGGATCACGCTTCCAAACCTGTGCCTAACTTCCAGCAGCTCTTCCTGAATGGAATCAAGGCCCTTTGGGAAATCTTCTGGAGAATTCTGTCCATCAGGGGAAATGAAAAGGCTGAGGAAGGAATGAATCCGCTGCTCTGTAGGGAGCAAAAATACAAAAAGAAAAAAATCAACAATTGACCTTTCACAGAAAGCTAGTTTTGAGACAAAGGGTTCCCCACGCAGTCAAGAGCGGATCCGAGGACAGCTGTGCTGTGCCGGGATGTCATAGACAAGTAACACTCCGGATGGATTCAGGGACAGAGTGGATTAACATGTTCCTCTTCCAAATACTAAGCAGATGAAATGGCACCCAGCACAGGAACCAAGGTGAAACTGTGCTGACACAAGGAGAGTACCCAAGCATCGGGTGTACTTGCCTTGTTTTCACTTTGTCCTGGGTAGCTGCCTCTAACAATGGCTATCGCTGGGGTGCTGGGCTTAAGAATGGTCAAATCCATCACACCTAGTGTTACAGTGGAAGAGGTCAACAGTAAAGATTTTTCACCCACTGTGAGAGTTTTTGTACTGCATTAAAGTGTCGAGCATCTTAGAAGTGTAATGGAATACAGAACTTCAGAGCCCAGGATTTATCTTGCCTGCCACAGCAGCATTTTGAAATTGAAAGCATTCAAGAAGCCTCTTCAAGGAACACAGAGCTGAGATTCAACTACTCAGCTGCTTCAAATGTTCTTGCACTTGAAGCAAGTATGTGGGAAATGTTGACAGTAGCCAAGAGTGCAGGGAAGACATGGGTTTGATTTTTAGATATGGAGGGGGGAAGCTGTCTCATTCTGCAGCTGCTAATGCCACACCAGCGGCAAGTCCTTGCCGTCACACGCTGCCCAGCCTGTAGTTTATTGAGGTTTGGTTTAGGCTATTAATTTAGCCTTCTGAATTACATCAAAACAAAAACAGCCTGCTCTGACATGGAAAGAATAAACCCAAATAAACAGTGTGGTAGAGTCCACAGAGGCTGGGAAGGATACTTAACTAGATGAAGCAATAGGCAGGAAGAACCTCACCTTATTTTCATAGCTGATAAAAGCTAGTCTTCCATGTGGAACTAATCTTTCCTGTAGCGTACTCGCTGCCTGTGGCACTGCAATCTGATGCAGAGTTAGCATTCAGAGTAGTAATAAAAGGTCAAAATAACCAGCTCTTATCCAAAACATTTGAATAAATATTTTGATGGAGCAGCATTCTAGGGCAGCTGGTTAGCTGAATACCAAGCAATGCACTCCCTAGGGATAAATACTATTTAAAGATCTTAGCATGGTGCTTTACTACAGCCAGTGATTAAGCTCTCACTACATCCTAGCCTGAAGATTGCAATGCTACCTAGGAACTGACCTTGCACTTGGGCCTGTTTACCTTTTAGCAAGGATGGGAGGATTTAAGAGTGGGGTTTTTTTTTTCAAGGTAATTACTCCTTGGGAGCATTTCAGGGTAGAATAGGAAAAACAAGGCAGTTTCTAAACCTAGCTTCCCTGACCCTCCTCTCCTGTGCAGACTATGTGGAGGGGCCAGACACTGAACTCAGCTCCCACCGTCAAGCGGTAGTTCTGCTCAGTGCAGGGAGCTTGCTTTGCTAGGACCGATCCTAGACCTGTCCTGCATGTTCCAGGGTCATTAGCATAAATCTAAGCTGTGGCCTGCAGGTGCAAAGTTTCTTCAAGGCCAAGTTAGACGTAAGCTCAGACTCACTAATGACATGCCAGACTGCGTTGCTCTTGTCCGTGATGCTTTTTATCTGGCCTTTCAGGGAAGCACACTTGTCAGTGGTAAAAGCAGCACAACCCAGCTGTGAGAGAGTCCTGCTGACTTCCTGGAGCACTTGGTCCCTGATGTCTCCTAAAGCTTCTTCGTACCTAAATCATACAAAGGTCCACGCACTCCAGCCACCACTCACGTTTGCTGACGAAGGGGTTTGCAGGCACGGAGGAGGAAGGAAGTCTCTCCACGTGCCTTTGGAGTGTCAGCACAGCCAGCTAGCACAGATCAGCCGACATTCAGCCACAGCTCTGGTGCCTATTGCAAGTGAACTAAGCTTCCCTTCCCTGCTCTTTGGTCAGTGGGAAGCTGCCCTGTGGCAGACTCATGAAATAGTGATCAGCACTCCTAATTTTCCCCTATAATCAAGAAGGGACTATTGCTCTAGAGAGTTAACTCCCTGCTAAAAGTGCTGGCTGGCTTCCCCCCCTCCTTGCAGTAGACCTGGCTGCTATTTGGACCTCAGATCCTCTTCTACTCCCGGGGGAGATTCCTGCTGCTCATCCCACAACCACCCAGTGCCTGCATACTCACTCTTCTGCTTCTGGAACAGAAATCTCAAAGTAACCCACCTGGTACAAGACAGCCCTTCCAAGAGGACCTTTGTTACCCGTTTCAGCCTAGCTACAAACCCAGGTGAGCCACATAAGGTGCTTCCACACATGCCACTAGTCACTAGCAGGACTGCAGTTATGATGGTAAGCTGATTCACCTGTGCTTGTACTTCCTGCAGTCGGGCCTGATCCGTAAACAGTGTCTGTGAACAGAAACCAAACAAGCAGCTGTGATGACTCAGCAGATCTCAAGTCAGGGCAGGGCTGTAACAGACCCACGAAGCTGAGTGGAAGGCAGCAGTGAGGCTTAGTTTTGTGAAAAATCCAATTTGGTTCACACAGGGAAAAACTCGGAGCTGGCCAGTTCTTTCTATAGAAGATGCAGAACTGGTACACTTGTTCATTTTGTACATCTTTATGAAAACACTCTAAAGGTGTCCGACCACTTCTCCTACCTCAGGGTATTCCTTTTGCCCAGGCTCCCAGCAGAGCAGATTCACGTATCCTCGATTTAGCAGGGACCCAAGACTTGGCACAGCTGTGCTACTGCTGGCTGCCCCCGGTGAGCACGCGGCAGACGAGCCACTGACTGCAGGTTGCAAGGAGGGCGCGGACACTTCTGCCGTTGCTTTGCACAGCCCCTCTCTTGTGTGATCCAGGCTACCTGCAATCCAGAAATGGATGTTTGCAAGAACAGTGGCCAGGTTAAGTCAGTAAGAAGCAGGAATGCTATACTGCAAGCTGAAGGGGATGTGGATTTGGAAGGCGAAGGCATCGTGCTGGTTCCTGGAATGGTGGGGAATGTCTTACACCATCACTAATGTACAATACTGATGTCCTGTTGCCAGGGCACAGGGTTAGGCTACTGAGACTGGTATCCAGAGAATGTTATATTTCATAGAGGATTTCAGTCTCCAAGAAGCACCTTTAATGGAGTCTGATGAAGGAGAGAGGCAGCCTTTCTACAGCCTAGCAAAGAGATGTCTACATCAAATGCAGGCTTTCCTCTTTAAATATGCCTCCTAACATCTTGCTCATTCCTCTGAGGATCTCAAAACACTTTAAACTCCTGAGAACTTAAGAGTTCCTCATGAAAAAGCTATTAGGTCTGTCTTATGCATGCAGAAACTGAAGCACACTAAGTAACTTCTTTTCTGCAAGGTATGTTAGTGAAGAGCCTTGAGGAAGGAACCCAGGAGTCCTACAGCTTTTAGCTGCATTTCTCTCATCTGTTACGAGTGTGCAATGAAAGCATCAGCTTTGGAATACTACAAGTTGCCTTTTAGTGCTTTAATAGCTCCTGTAGAAGTAACACTTCCTCCTTTCCCCTCTGACTTACTAGGCAGCTTATCCAAGAGTTCCTGGAATTTCTTCCATACACACTGGACGGTGTGGTCTTGCAAGTGGATGCGGAGGCTCTGGATAGTAAATTCAGCATATCCATTTTCATCAGGCCCAACACCTGGAAAATCTCCCTGGGATGAGACACAGTGAATTGAAGGTTTAATTCTGCAGTAAATGCTGTAATTTGGGCCATTTTAGAATGCTGAGAAAGGGAAATTCGGATCCTCTGACTTGATTCGATCTCTCACAAAAGGCTGTCCAGTCTAATTGGAGTAGTCCCTAAAAATTACTAGATATACCACATTTGTTCACTAAAAACTCTTCTACTGTCTAAACTGCAGCTGGGCAACAGGAATATGTTTACACTGAAAAAAAATAAGGAAGTCGAAGCCCAGAACACACAAAAGGGTCTTTGCTCCAGGGCAGTTTCCCCTTAACCCAGCGTTTTATTGTTGAAGGTTTTGCCGGTCTGCGTAGACAAAGGCAGAGTCAGCATCACCCACCTGAGAAGTTGAGCTGGGTCTGTGAGGCTTTGCAACCCTCGTACTTCCTCCTCTCCAGTGGGCGCACACAGTCTTGCCATCGTGCCAAGGACATACGTGGTGAGACCGCGGATATCCAGAGCCCCCTGCTCAGCCTCCTGTCTAATCAAGTCCACGTACAGGGCCTCTTCAATTTGGCTTCGCAGTTGGTTGTGCCATGACAGCAGCAACGATAGCAGGGCGGGCCCAAAGAAGCAGCAGTCTCTTTTTGATCCAAGAATTCAACAGTTCTCCAGGGTTGCTCAACAGCAATTGAGGTTGGCCTTGTATTGAGACTAAGCTAACTGCTTGGTACACAAATTCTGGGACATACAATCGCTTTAAGGGAATGCTTGTCCTAATGACTCATGTCAGCATGTCTGGCTACTGTTTTGTATCTTGCAAAACCTCCTTTACTGTCATGCATGAAAAAAGGAAGCCTAATAGCAAAGCAGAGACTGAAAGAGCAAACTATACGCAATTTCATGCCCTAAGAACACATCTTTTAGTGCTAAATTGTGTTCTCATTCACTACATTGTACACTTAAATAGTAGATCAGCTCCTCATATACCTAAAGAGATGTCTTTGTATAGAGAATTGCAGTTTTTGTTTGGCAGACACTATACTGGAAATGGCCTATGGCAGTTACTACAGCCAACAGTTTGAACAAAGGCTTTCTTTCCATCCTTTTGGTAATGTGTTTTGAAGACCTGGGACCAGAGAATGAGTTTCCTTCTCAGACAGGTTTTAGAAGGTGTATATGTGTAATTTGTGTCTCCCTATCAACTAAAGGGAGCCTATTTTCTCCTCCCTCTTATGCATACTCATATAGGAATACTGGATGTAAGGGTGATTAAGAGTGATGATTCAGAGAAGACCAGTTCTAAGGTAGCCATCTTCCATGGTTCAGGAATAGCTCACCTCTTATCTCATGTAGCAGCTGGATCGCCTGAGTGTAGTCTGGGGGACTAGCAGAGCGCTGTTCCTCCTGGCTGTCCCAGAAGGCTTTGTGCAACGTCTCCCTCACTCTGGTTTTCCGACTAGATGATTCAGAGAAGACCAGTTCTAAGGTAGCCATCTTCCGTGGTTCAGGAATAGCTCACCTCTCATGTAGCAGCTGGATCGCCTGAGTGTAGTCTGGGGGACTAGCAGAGCGCTGTTCCTCCTGGCTGTCCCAGAAGGCTTTGTGCAACGTCTCCCTCACTCTGTTTTCCAGACTAAGAAAGAAGAGAGGGGAGGGGGTTTCTATTATTGTCAGATGAACACAACCTCTCAGTTCGATGGGACCGTTCCTCCCGGCTTTCATTGCTGTTTGCGTCTTTGGACATTTTCTTCTTTCTTAACTCCCATCTGGCCGCAAAGCACCTCACCTTTGTCTATCTCATGGAAATATCTCTCAACCTAAGTTTTCTAAAGTGGAACTCCCTTCAACCATAAAGTTCATAAAATGCAGCACTTAAGCTGTCTTAACCAAGGAGTAAAAAGAACATAGCGTTTTTCAAGGAAACTCTCCAAGTTCTCAGAGAAGATCAACAGAATGTTTTTCTAGCTAGTGCTTGTTTTTGCAATGAGAGATTGTCAGTCACTTAGATCTTTAAAAAGTAGGCACTTCAGAGGAGATCTTCGCTGAAAAGGCTGCTTTATTCGTGTCAAAGTCATAGCTTACGCAGCTGAAGCCTCTAAATCTTTCCATGTTAGTGAGTCATATCTGACACTCATCACGTTTAAGAACTTCTTAGTAAATCATGAAACAATGAAGAAATACAACAAGCTCCAACTTTTTTTTATTATTATTATTTCAGGAGCTATCTTATTTTCTTGCTACTTCTACAGTCAGATCCAAACCCACCTCCTTCCCACCTTTTCATGTTTTCTCTAATGTGACAGAAAGAAGCCAAGCCTGAATATATATCTATACATGCCTGTCTGGGGGGGAAGCTGGCCGCTTGCAGTTTGAAGTCAGCGTTGCGTACAGCTTCATGCACGAAGGTCAGTTCGGTGATGTCAGTTATTTCCTGTAGCTCGTTCGTGGACAGAACTGGTGGAGGGCTGGCTGCAGCAAAGCAGAATAAAAGCAAGTAAGAGAAGGAATGCTAACCACGGTCTTGTGAGAGAAGAGGGGTTAAAAAATTACCGAACACCTTTAAGTGACAAAGTGAAAACGCGCAGGTTTGTTTACAGACAATACACCTCACTGTCCGGCCCGG